AACTCCCCCAACTGTGCTAAATAGAGGAGAGATTCCCCCCAAACAGCAGATATTCCCCCAAAATGCCCCAAAGAAGGAGATATTTCCTGAAAACTGCCCCAAAGGAGGAGATATTCCCCAAAAACCACTCCAAAAGTGGAGATATTCCCCCAAAACTGCCGCAAAGGAGGAGCTATTCCCTCAAACAGCCACAAAGGAGAAGAGTGTCCCCCTAAACCATGCTAAAAGAGGAGAGTCCCCCCAAACCACCCCAAACAAGCAGATACTCCCCCAAAACCGCCCAAAGGAGTAGATGTTCACCCAAAATGCCCCAAAGGAGGAGAGATTCCTCCAAAACCACTCCAAAAAAAGGAGATATTCCCCCCAAACCGCCCCAAAGGCGGAGATATTCCCTCAAACCACCCCAAAACAGCACCCTGATGAGCTATTTGCCCCGGCCAGATGCCGACAGTCTGCCCAGGGATGGTTTCTTTAATGAATTTGCTTAAAAAAAGAGATTTCCAATGGGTTTTTTCCAAGAGTAAATCTGCTTCAAAATGGCTTTGCAAGGAAATTTGCATTTCAGGGCTTGATTTTAACACCGGTTTAATGCCAGGGACGGAGCTTTTTGCCCGGTATTTCGGCAAAGCGAGCCTCAGGGCTCGTTTCCCATCAAGAGCAGGTTTAAAACCCACCACCGAAGCGGGTGGGTTTATTATTTATTATTTCCAAACAGCCGCCTCCTTCCAGAAATCCCCTTTGCCTGCCTGAACGAGCAAACCCTGCTGCTTTCAAAGAGAAAAATAAAACCTTGAAAATCGTAAACCGGAGTGTTTGCACCCCGGCTGGAGCGATGCTTGGGGGAAGCGGCTCGTTGTTGTCCGGTCTCTTTGATTTCAAAGGGAAATGCTTGCAAAAAAAGGACGATAAAAAGACCGAATCGGGCTGATAAACCCCGGCACTCACCGATTTTGCTCCTCCAGCTTTGCCAGCAGCTCCAGTTCGTCGGGGCTGAGGTTTTCCGAGTCGGAGGTGGGCGAACACGCCGGGGCCGAGTTGACGGAGGAGAGGGCTTCGTGGGAGGACGAGTCGGGGCTGACGGCCG